TTTCTGATATTCATCTCCCTGGCTTTCTGGATTCCTTCCATAACCGCATGGATCTCGGCTCTGAGAGAGTCACCCACTCCAATTGGGCCTGAGAACATGGCATTGACAACCCCATTCTCATTCATGAAAACACCCCCAACCCTTGATTGTCCAGGATTCCCTATGCAGCTCCCATCAAAGTTTAGTTTTATGTAACCCGCAGGGGGGGAGTCCAAGACACATTCATCACTGTTTTGGTCTGGGTATTGCTAGCAATCTCACTCCAGTTCCTCAACATGTCATTTACTGTATAATCTGTGAATAACTCTAGTGATTTCATCCACTGTCTACCCTTATAAGGATCAAAGCCTTCAATTCATCAGTACTTCTCTCTACTTCTGAGAAAATCCTGGCATTTCTTTCTTCCCACAAGGATCAACAACTCGCAACCCTTAGTCCTCTCCACATAATCCTGCACCTTTCATGTGCCACCTGAAAAAAGGAGAAAATAGATTTTGCAAATTTGATGGAGGGTTCCAACTACACCCAAATAGGGAGAGCCCACTCCCAAATAGACTTTACATATTGGCAAGACACTAGTAGGTGAAAACCCGTCTCCCCATCAGCTTCACAAAGAACACACTAGTGAGGGGACAAACAAGTATTGGGTCTCTTCTTTTGGAGTAGATCACTAGTGCTGAATCTTTCCAGAAAGGCTTCCCAGCAAAAACTACCAACCCTAGGAGGGATTGGTCTACACCAAACCTTATGAACAGGAAAAGGGAGGGCTATAGGACTGGTGGATAGGCTTAAAACTTTGAAGAAAGAGGCACAGGAGAAAGAACCATTGGGGGTGGGAGTCCAAATTCTAGAGTCCACCTTAGCAGGGTCTAAGAAAATATTATCAAGAAGCTGAAGGAGACTCGAAATGCTGTCAAGGTCTGAGTCTGTCACAACCCTTCTCAAACCCAAATTCCACCCAAACCCAGAAGTGGAAGAGGAGGGGGTTGTGAAGGAGGAAACTGGTCCTTTAGAGGGGTATCCCCCACCCAAGTTTGTTCCTAGAATTTTATAGCATTACCTGAATTCAAGTCATACCTGATAAGAGGGGAAAAAATTGGTAACAACTCATGAATGACTTTCCAAGGTGAAGCACATGTAGTCCTAGCTCGGATTCTTGCATCCCATCCATTTAGCTCCAGCCCATGTATGCTGACCACTATCTTGGCCCATAACCTCTCCTTCTCTAATGGGAATCTCCACAACCATTTCCCTAGAAGGGCCGGATTCCTTTTTCTAATGTTCCCGAGCCCCAAACCACCACTATTTTTACTCCTGGTCACCACCTCCCAACCTACTCTATGATCCCTTTTCTCCTCTCCTGGCTCCCAAAGGAAGTCTCTCATCATCTTTTCCAATCTATTGAAAACCTTTACTGGGATTTTGAACGCTGAAAGGAAATAAATAGGTCAATTTTCTAGAGTAGCCTTAATCAGTGTTATCCTCCCACCCATAGAGAGGTAATTCCTTTTCCAAGATACAAGTTTCTTTTCAAATCTTTTCACCAATGGATTCTAGAAGCACTCTCTCTTTGTGTTATCACCCAATGGCAACCCCAAATAATTTAAAGACCACTTTGAGACTTCACACCCTAGCACTTCTGTAGTCTCCCTGATCTCACCTTCCTCCATATTCACACCCACTACGCAACTTTTCTCAAAGTTCATCTTCAGGTTTGACATTTGTTCAAAGAGTTGTATCACCAATTTCAAGTTCCTTATATACCTCATATTCCCCCTTCACAGAACAGAATCGTGTCATCTGCAAACTGTAGATGGGTGAGGGGGGTRTCCTCCCTTTCTACTCTCCAGCCTCTAATAAGACCCCCAGAATCTGCTATGTAAATTAATTTCCCCTGAACATCAGCAATTAGTGTGAATAGGAAGGGAGACAGGGGGTCTCCTTGTCTTACACCCCTAATGGCTGGGAAGAAGTCAACCACTGTCCCATTCACTAGTACCAAGTAATGACAATTACGAACACACCCCCCATAAATCCATTTGCACCATCTAGCCCCAAATCCAAATTTGGTCATAACTTTCCTCAAAAATTCCCATTCCACCAAGTCATAGGCCTTTTCCAGATCCAACTTACAGACCACTCCCTTCTTTCTATCATTCTTGAAATTCTCCACTCTCATTGGCAGTTAGAATTTGATTTGTTATTTGTCTTCCACTCGCAAAAGCTCCTTGATTCGGTGAGATAATATATGGCAACACTTCCTTCAA